CTCCGGGCAGGCGAAGGAGGGAGGCGCCGAGGGTCCCTGCCTCCACCCCCACCCCTGCTGGGGCCCGGCCATCCAGTGGGGGTGGGGAGCACCGACAGTTTCCACGGGGTGACTGGTCATGGAGAGTGTCTGGTTGAAATCCGGCTCGGGCACTCGAGGGGCCCGGTGTTTGCAAGCAGCCTCGGAGTTGGTAGGAGGGCCAAATGACATGACTGACGCCTGCGATGCATTGAAGGGTGCCGGCCCAGGGAAAATAGTGATCGCTTTTATGGTAGTCTGACCCACAGGGCAGCGACAAGCATGCCCACCCTGAACATTGCCCAGCCAGGAGCAAGAAGACACGTGCAGGACCCTAGCTGGCAGTCCTGCTCCTTCTGCGTTCATGGACACGCAGCCCTACCCTGCCATCCTTCAGGCCTAAAGATGCTCATACCGGGCGGTGCGGGCTGTCCCTAGGAGGATGGAAGTCCAGAAAGGCCCTGGAAGCAGGTCGAAGGCTGTTTGCACAGGGATTTCCAGAGTCCAGGGTTTCAGGAGCATGATCAAGAAGGGGACATGGGTTCCAGATGGTCATACCTGTTGTCCCTCCTCAGGAAAAGACGCAGAGGCGAAGTGGGCCAACTAACTAAAGCATGGGGCACAGAGGTGAGCCCAGCTCTCCAGGTCTGAGGTCAGTACTGTGACAAGTGCCAGAGAATGCAGATTAGGTCCTGGGATGGCTTCATGCAGAGTCTGTAAACTGGGACGCCCTAGGCCACATCCAGCCCACAGAGGTGGTTTTTTGGCTCATGATTTTTAAAAATCAAATTAGCTGCCAACATTTTTAAAAATCAAGAATTTCGTTTATAATTCTGGATTTCCTTCTCTGGAAAATTCATAAGATCTCTCAAATACAGCCCACCGTCCACCAGTAGTAGGAGAAAGGCAGCTGCTGTCCCCAGATTTGCAGTCCCAGCCACCTCCATCCCCATTACCCATACAACACATGCACACTCACTCACATCTCACTCTTTTTGTTAAGTGCCTGACCCTGTAGGCAGCTGAATTTTTCCACCACTGGCACTCAGGGAAGAGAAGGCTCAAGGATGCTGTTATTACCTTCTGAAGTGTTTTCATGAAAAAGCTTCTGAGCATTTCCATCCGTGTCAGGAAAACAGGCTTACAGCAAAGCAGCAAACAGTGGAATGGGTGACTGCAGACAGTAAATGTCTCCATTTCTGAGATTCTCTGAGATGAACTGTTTCTATTTGTCTTGGGGGGTTAGACATTTGGTGCCTTGAGGTAAGAAGCTAAACCACATAATCTTTTGTGGCCTCTTCCAGGGCTGGGATTCCATGACTCCGTACAAGAGATGTAAAAGAAAGCTCTAGCCTTGAGGAGTTTATAATACACGTGGAAAAGACATATAACCCTTACCAAAAAACAAACATACACAAGTGAATTACAACTCAGCTGCTCTCTAGAGCTGAGAGTATACATGCCCCAATTAACTACTCACTACCCAGCTGCCAGGAGGATAGGGCTATACTAAATTTGAGGCAGGTGCCTTTCCTAGCCAGCCATCTCCCATTGTTCTAGCAGCTCCTGCCATCCCAATGCCCCTTGAAAACTCTCTGGATTGATCTGAGACCTTGCGTGACACTCAGTGTTCTTACTTGCAAGCAACAGAAACTGGCTGATTGTCCCACGTGGAAAGGGGACTTACTGAAAGGACATGGATGCCCCCAGAATCAGCAGGAGACTAAAGACCCAGATTAGGAAATGGGCAGGCTCCAGGGACTGAGTGTCACTGCCTTGAAATGATTCTGACCCTCCCTTCAACTTTATCCTTCATTCTAGATTCCAAGTCCTGGGCAGAACCTCACCCTGTCTGCTTCCATTGTGGGAGATGAGGCACAGGCAGTATCCTGCCTTCCAGTATATCTACATGCAAGGGGTTAACACAAAATAGGTAAGAAGGTAAGTTCCCAGATTGCTCCCCAAAATTCAAATACCCCTACGTATGGCCTTTCCTCACTGTCTGAACATCAGACTGTGTAGCAAGGGTCC